TCAACGCAATGTTTACAACACGACTCGGAACCTGCCAACCCTCGAAAGCCCATGCACGTAACAGCGCTTGTTAACTGCTACGACAAGTGTGCCTGCTCTCCAACCACTTCGCACATGCACATGCGCCCACATACACCGTGATACAAAACATGATGTCCTGCGACCAACCGCAACCACAACTATCGCAACGCCTTGACCTGACAATTAAAATGACCGATGTCGTTCATGCAAATGTAGTCCGATCTCTGCGTATGCTGCTGAGTCCTATTGGGACGGAGCTTCGAATTAGCAGTCCCGTCCTAAGTAGGATGCCGCTACACGCTTCTACTCTAGTAATCCTCGCTGCTGAAGAGCACACGGAAGGGAATGCCGTACCACTCGATGTTGTTGTCCTTGGCGAACCTGTCGAAAAAAGTATGGGCAGTAGGATTGACGATAGTTAGGCACAGGTGGATGTCAAGCATGCATCGATAGCTAAGTTGGAACTCCCAGGGGCTGGCCATACGCATGCAGTGCGCCGGTCAAATTGATGCAACCGAAGCCTAACAAACAAATGCAACTGAAATCTGCAAAATATGTTCCGAATTAGCTGATGTGTTAGCTTCTCCGCAAACCTAAACCTCAAATAACGAGGTTTGTTGTGGCCCCATCGGCAATCGCATGCGACTGGCATGATGGCATGATGGCTGGCCGATCCTCCTCCAGTAGCATATAGCCTACAGCCCACCCCTTTCCGCCCGTCCGCCCGCCTGTCCATCCCCCCTCCAGCCATTCAGCCAGCCAGCCGGTACCCACTCTCGCAAGTTCATCGAGTGCTTGGAGGTGATGTGGTCCAGATAGCCCTCCATGGAGTCCCACGCGCCGCGAATAAGGTAGTGGTGGTTCATGGTGGCGAACTTGCGGACGCTGGGTAAAAAAGTCCATGGGGTGATTGGGGAGTCATAATGAACCGACAAGCCAATTGGAGCTGTCCGGGTGCCGGGCATTGCATGTTTTGGTCCGACTATCCGCCGTCAAAAAACCAAGTCAGAACTCAACCCAGACCGAACAGCTGTGCTGTGGTTTTCACCCGGCGACTTACACGAAGAAGCGGTTCTCGTCCTCGTCCTTCACCACGCGCTTCTGCATGTCCTCCACGAAGTTCAGGAAGTCGCCCTCCTAGCAGTCGCATGTACAGCAGGGTGTTCGACAGGGGGTCGCGGTTTAATGTACAGGCCGCGGTGTGCCCGACGGTCTGTGCATACAGACTTACAAAAATTTACTTTTAAATTTACAAAAAAGAGACATATCGCTATCGGAAGCCAGCCAATTTAGCCTATGCTGACACAAGCACGGAAGGACGGAAGGACGAGGGAAAAAAAACGGTCCTAACCAACCGAGCGCCAGTCGGGTACTCAAAATTTTAAAGATAGTGGCTTCATAGCAAGCCGACACAAACAGATCGCCTACTGGTTTCCAACCGCATCGTGGACCGTGAGGAGGGTGCATGCGAGCAGTTCAAAACAAAAGCCACAGGCACGTCATTTTCTGACCTTACCTGTGATGGCATGATGTGGAAGCGGATGCCGAGGTGTGCCGGCTCGTCACGCGGGTCCCAATCCTCGATCTCGCGACCACGGCGGCGGCGGCGCTCCAGGTCCTTGGCGGCGGCAGCACGGGCGGCGGTGGCGGCCTTCTCGCCCTCGCGATCCGCGCGGTACTCCTGTTGCAAAGTGGAGAGTCGATGGGTTCGAGTGGCAGGATTAAAACAATATCTCCGGGACGAGTATAGCTTGCAGAAGAAAGATGGGTTGCGAGCGTGGCTAAACTATAATGGAACGATACTGCGGCTGAAACTTACCCGCTTCTCATCTCCGAGCGCCTCCAGCGGGAACATCTCCACCAGGATGTCGTTGTCATCCACCCAGTTGTGGAAGTCCTTGAACGCGGTAGACCTGATAAGGCAAAAGCAGCAAACGGGAACGGTTTAGAAGTTGGGTCACCAAAGTCTGTCGAGGTAACACACACGAGTGCCGACTAACGGGCGCTACAACTACAGCAAACCAGCACTTTAATTTTTGAAGATAAATTTTATTTTCACTTCCAATAAATGAATTGCTCAACTCGCAGTGATCCATCAGGTCGCCGACTGTGTCCCACTCCGTGTAGCTCCAGAACATGACGTTGTCGTCCATGTCCTTGGTCTTCTGGTAGAAGCTAAGGCCCTTGACATCGCGCAACACCTTGTCGTGGCGATCCCTGCGATGTGAAAGCGAGGCGCGGTTGGGTTCGGTCAGCAGCGGTCAAGCAAAGTATGGGAACAGCGTCAATCGCGCCAGGTGGGTCAGACGGCACCTAGCGGGAAGCCAAGATGAAACGCCAGATGAAACCCAAGCAAGACAGCGTCGCAACAAGGGCCTTCGTGACCAACTCGTCAGGTGCATCGCACATTTCCCAAGCTCCAAAATCGCTCGGACGCCCCTTTGTAAGCCTTGGATGTCATACCACGCCCATCCCCACCGTCCCCTATTCTTACAGTTCCTCAATGAAGCGGTCGTGCAGTGTCGGGGGCACCTCGTACTTGATCAGCATGTACGCGGGGCGGTTCTCCATGCCCTCGCCTCCACGGCGCATCAGCCACTAATGATACATTGGGGAAGACAGCGAGCATCAGAAAAATATTTCAAGGCGAGATAGCAAGCCGGCGAGATAGCAAGCCGGCCAGGAACACCGAATAAAACCGGAAGCAGATCAGGACAGAAAGGGCACGAGCAAGACAGCAGCTGTAGTAGCTGGCCGCTGAAAAGGTCTCTCGAGATGCTGGTGGTCGCGCTTCGCGCTATTTGTAGAGCCGTACTGTGTACCAGCTACTACAGCAGCAAGCAGCAGGTGCGAACGTCTGAAGAGCTACCCCCGATCCGCCGTGGCGCACTCCCTATCGACGCGTCTGCATACGTCTGTAACCCAAATACTGATCGACCGTCAACTAAATACATGGCCATGCATATGAAGTCGTTTTCGCGCACGCGTACTGAGCATGCACATAGCCACAAATCATATTGCTCTCCGAGCTAAGGTTTTAATTAGAGGTCTTAGGATCCACGAGGACCATTGACGGCACACCGTCATCAACCGCGACAAGGCAACTGCTAACTGTCGACAAATATGTCTATGCAAAAGGAAAAAGCAAAGAGAGTAGTGTGTCGGGTGATCTTGCCTCAATTGCCTTGAGGCTGCTCGTGGCGGTGGTGCCGCCCGTCGTGCGGTGCAGGGATGAGGAGGCAGGTGATGAGCGGTAGGCGCTTGCACCCACACACAGCAGCAGCAGGAGCGCCGCTGCGGCCAGCAACGAACTACGCCGACTGGGCGACATCATGTAACGATGGAAGGTGGCAGCAAGGAAGTCGTGGCAGCTGCCCAATAATAATGAGCCGTCAAAGGTTAACGAGGGCGAAGGTCCGATAGGAGGACTAACTTGTAAGGAAATCTACTCTACAATATCAGAGAAAACATTGCTGCCTCCTATATCGTCCGATGCATAAACTAGATGCGCCGGCACACGGCTTTTATACTCCAAGCCTTAGGCGGGATGTTGTCGTAGCGGCTTCCAAATCGTCATGCTCCGAAACCGCAAGCGATGCAGTTTTCGTTGGTGGTCGTACGGTAACGTGCCTTGGGATGGCGCAACGATCGATCTGATGGGCTTGGGGCGACACGCGGACGCGCTAAGGTTAGGTGTTTTGCCAGTACACCTTTCATAACACCAAGCTGCATTTACAACATGTTTATTCACAATGAACTTCTACCAGATATAATATCTTAACGGATACTGATATGGCATGATCGAATACTTATAGTTCAGGCCCGTATGCGGGGGAAAGCTTTCTGTTCTGTTCTGTTTATTTGATTGGTTGGCAGACGGAATGCCTGCTGGGTGCTTCGTCGCCACGCGGCGGAGGACGCGTCGTCAACGCTTATTGTGGCGAATGAAAAATCCCTGAAGTAAACCCTGAAGTAATGGAAATTATTAGATACGTAGCTGCATGCGGATCGATGAAAGGGGAATCGCATTCCTAGTCCTTGTTCCTGTCAAACTAGTTTTGCGAACACACGGGTCATGCCTTCATAACGTGGGGGGAAATAGTTACATGTCGCTGCCAGGGTAGGGGCCTGCTGTTCTTCTCGCCACTGCAGGTATTTGCCGTCTTTTGTGCGAGGTGGCGAAGTGGCCAAGGGATGACTGGGAATGGGTTAACATTGGGACGGTCGCCACCGAAAACCCTAGGGGCTAAGGGGTGCTCATTTCGTTGGTCGATATAAGGATGTTTGCTTCTCAGGTGTTCGCTTCTTGAACGAGGAAGACGGAATCATGGATGTGAGTTCGATATGTGTCTTAATCGTGCAGCGTGCTGCTGGCTACGTGAAGGAAGGGTAGATGCTGATTCATACAAGATGCCAATCGATTTGACAGATTTCGACAAATATATACTGGAAAGCAGATCATAGGTCGCACGGATTGGGTTGGACACGGAGCTCGTAAGGGGTCTTAGATCCTTATTGCGGTAGCGGGGCTTAGATTTTTATTGGTCTAGCGGGCTTACATTTTTAAGTTTCGGATATGTGTTGGGAATATCTGGCGACGAAGGTTGCTAGATGTAACACAGCAAAGGCGTAACCTGGGATACGCCTTTGCTGTGTTACAATGGTATCGAGACGGGACCGCACGACTTCCGTAACAAACTTCGGGTCGGCGGTTCGATTCTGGCAACCAGCAAGTCGCAAATTGGCGATTTCATGGTGTAATGGATAAACCAGCGCACTGGCGCGAGGTGGGATGGCTCCTGTGCTCGAAATAATGGCCGAGGACGTCCATTGCTAAGTGGGGGGCAATGTAACGACGCAAATGCCAATCTGAGCATCCCGGGTTACGCCTTTGCTGTGTTACACTAGAGCTTTACGTCCGCGCAAAGATCTTCTGATAGCGTCACGCAAAAGGCTGCGTTGGTCGTTCGTTACAGAAGCCCATGTCAGGCCGCAGTCAGGCACGCATGGGCGGTATGTGTGTGATTGTGATATGTGAGTGCGTCCAGGCTCCGTGCACTGCACTTGATCCGATGAGGGCAAACAAGACTCCCACCCAGACCAGACAACGCAAGTGTCACCTAGACGGCCAAAAGCAAACCCAATGGGAAGGCTCAGGACCCGCAACCACTGGGGCATTTTCCATTAGACTCCCCAACTGCCGAAAGTCCTCAGACCTCCACCAGAAAGCCCATCAGCAAATACTGATAAGAACTTGCACGTTGTTTGTTACTAGATGATGACGCCTGAACCGCAAAAACTCCCCAATTAAAAGAAACCAATAAAAAGGAGCAAAAATAGGTTATAGCTAATCGTCCATCGGTGGCCTCTCCCGTGATCGTAAGAACTTGTGTGACACAAATCACAAGAAGGGGTGATGTGACCCAGAACAGAATCCCACTTTTTCCATGGAACGCCCAAAGCTGCGAATCCCGGAAGGCGGCCCCAAAAGTCAACAACGAACTCGATGAATGGCTCCTGGAAGGCAAGGGGCAGGCAACAGTGCCGGGTTGTTATCGCCGCCCATGCTCCATAGCTGACACCGCAGCAAGAGCCACAACATCCCAAACACATTGTTTTGCACTTTTTGCAGAGCTTGGACAAGCCAAAGTTGTTCGCGTGACACTGGAAATCCTATCGACCGAGTGAATTGAATTGAAGAACATCCCCCAACGTTTTCTTACAGCCCAGGAGTACAAGTGCTTGGTGTCGAAACTCCAGCCCTGGGCGGATGTCTTAATATGGAGGGGCTGTGCGCTGCAGGTGCTTCCAGAGAAGACCGGGACGTTTGGATCATGATCCAAACGATATGATCATATCGCAATTCGCCTGCATACCGATAGTCATGCGCCAATCTTGTAATGAACGCTTACGGTAATGGGTTCATACTAACGGGAAACCGAAGTTTTCGACAGTTTTTAAAAGGTAAAAAATGCGTAGCTGTTAAGGACTTGAGCAATACAGGCTAACTACTTCCACACCATTTGATTGCGGCATGGATGCTCTCAAGCTTCAAGAGGCCCTTTGATACCAACTCTTGGTAGGCCCTGGGAATCATTAACCCTGCCTGACACAGGTCAGAAGGCAATTTCCCCGGCACTGGGCGAAAATGAAAATTGTAACATAAAATAAAACACATAGGCCGCCGCCGCTCCAGCAGTGCTCACAGCAGCACGTGTGCACGTGTAGTAAAGCAGAGCTGCTCCAGCAACAACATCGACGGCGTGGCGGCTACAGCAACGGCAACAGCAACGGCCGCAACAGCAGCTGCCACTGCGTCCACGTGTTCCGGCGACACTGGTCCTCGTCCTGTCATCCACACCTGGCCGGCTCACACGCGAGCGCCCCAACAGCCCCTACTTCACAGGTCGGTTGCAACCACCGAGGGGCCTTACCAAGCATTTTCCCTAGGGGCGGAAACCTCTTTCCTACCATCCTCTCCTTCTCCGCCTGCTTCACACCCACTCCCTGGTCTCTCTTGCGTTCCATTCACCCAGCTCAGCCAGGATGATAGGCGATTCAAGCGCAAAGCGGCGCAAAGCCCCAAGGGTTCCATGGGTAGGGGACCCCTGGGCCAGACTCGTGTGCTGAAGGGACATGCAGGAGTTCTACGCACCGCACCGCACACTCCGAGAATCCTATTTCCCGAATGAATTTTGAGGCGCTCGCTCGCTCGGCAGCTAGCAATAAATGAATGGATGTCTGGTTATCACGAAGTACCACAGACAGGGGCAGGTCGCATCCGGGGAGGAGCATGAAACACACTAGCAACGCAACACCACCAGCGCAACACTGTATAGTATGTATGTATGTATGTATGTATGTATGTATGTATGTATGTATGTATGTATGTATGTATGTATGTATGTATGTATGTATGTATGTATGTATGTATGTATGTTGTCAGCACAGACCATCACACTGCTGCTCGGGTGGTTAGGAGGGTGCACCGGGCGTCTGGTATAGCAATCAAATCCCCAGCTGCCGCGCAGTCATAAACCGACCCACGCGTGTGTGTGTGTGTGTGTGTGTGCGAGGGTACCGGGTAGCGCCTGAGACGGTGAGGGCCGGAAGCGCAACGAACACCGGCGAGGACCCAAAGAGCAACCAACACATGCAGACTCGTGTGCTCGTCGGCGAGGAACCAGAGGCCAACCAGAGAAGAAGAAAAAAGAAGATGCCAACCAAGTTGTATGTCCCAAAATGCATCTCTATGGCATCAAACGTAGCCATTAACAGTTTCACGTAGTCAATTAAACAAACATAGCAGTAGCGTTCATACTACATACATAATGACAATAACAGTAACAGAGAGAAAACAGTGGCGTGCGAGTCACAAGTCGCAGTATAGCGTGGGGTCAGTCACAAGTAGCGGTAGTATTCACATTTCGTCCCCTCCCTCCCTCCCTCCCTCCCTCCCTCCCTCCCTCCCTCCCTCCCTCCCTCCCTCCCTCCCTCCCTCCCTCCCTCCCTCCCTCCCTCCCTCCCTCCCTCCTTTCCTGCAGTGAAGGAGCCGGTGTTCTTTTTCCGTTCGCCATTGTCGCCATCTCACAGCCTCCCCTCCCTCTCCTCTTTATGTAACTGCGAATGGCGTGTGACCATTACAACACCCCCAACCACACACCCCCAACCACACACACACACACACGCCATTCACGTTGGCCGGTAGCTCACCCCGGGGTCCTAGTTATGATCCTCCTTTACCGCAATCCCCGTGAGGTCGCGGTCGTGAGCACGCACGATCAGGGATGGGGGGGTCTGGTTGGTCACGTAGATCTTCCAAGTGCAGTCGGTCCCCAACTCCTACAGTGCTTTTAGTGTGAGGGCAAGTGGTGTTCCCCGACAGTCTTCGGGACTGGCTGCGATACAGTTTAAAAATCCATAAATCCATACATCCATACGTACATACATACGTACGCACGCACGTACATACGTACATACGTACAAACGTAAACACATACATACATACATACATTGGAGTGGCCACCCTAAGTCGCCATGTCAGGTTGCAGCAACATTTGTTCGCATGTAGATTTTCTTTCCTGGTGCAGTCGCCCAGCCGAGGATTCATCACGTTTGCCAAAGGATGAAGACACAGATCACATGTTCCGATCACATGTGGGTCGCGAGAGGCTGGAAGTGTGTGTGCCCCGGAAGTGCGCGTACTGAACGGTGTTGGGGAAAGAAAAGCATCGTCGCGCTGCGCGCGTGTCTGTGCGTCTGTGCATCTGTCTGTATATAAGCCGTGGCGAGCTGAAATTTATTAGGGTACATCACGAGCCGGTCCGCTCAAGCTCGGCCGCCTCCCAGGGTGCCGAACCCGCGACGGCCGCCTCCGCCGGCCACCGCCCAGGCGGCTGCGGCAGCTGAACCAGCTCCCAACGCATCGCTCAAAGCCGCCGGCGACGCAGGTCCCGGCGGCGCGCCAAGGCCGCCGTACCCTGCCGCCGCCACCCCTGCACCGCCCCCTAGGTGCGGCGGCAGCGGCAGATGCATACGCATCTCCGTAAACTCGATGCCGTGCTTGTGGAAGACCTCCCGTACGGCAGACATGATACCGTGACGCGCGTTCGCGATGCGCTTGTGAGCGGCGGAAAGGTTGAACTTGTACCTGCGACCCATGGGTCCGTCGGTCGGTGGACCGGTCAGCAGTCAGTCAGGTCTTCTATAGGTCGTGGGGCGTGGGGCGTGGGCTAGGGCTAAGTCACGGGACAGGACACATACATCCCCTCTAAATCTCTCAGCCACCCCAACAGCTCACCGATGGAACGTGCGGATGATGACCTTGTTGGGCCGCTCAAAGCCGTGGTACACCGCCAGGAAGCCGTACATCTCGTCGTACTCGCTCTTCGTACGTGTGATGACGTCCATGGCGGCCTGTTGCATCTCCTCCAGAACGGACGGCGGAGTGGAGGCGTCAACCGCGAAATAGTTTTGCTCGATCTTCCAGTCCGACCTGTGTACGACGACCCCCGAGGCCCGGACAGCGGTGGATAACACGTTTCGTCCCGAGGCGGACATGGACGGGGACACGCGGGAGGGGGAAGGAAGGGAGGGGGAGCGGGTTGGATCAGTCGGTTGAGGTGTGTGACCCCGTTGCGTCCTCCCGGGAACACCTCGTGCATGGCACCGATGGTGCCGGTAAGGAAACGGTCATGTGATCTGCGGGTGTATGTGAGTATGTATGTAGGTATACGGTGCGTGTGTCAAGCTCCATAGATTATTATCCACCCCGACCACATGCCGTGTTGCAGTACTCTTCCACCGCCCCTATAGCTATGGTGATGGCTAGTAACCATGGTGATGTCATGTGTGGAATGAAGCGGCCTGACAATAAAACGATGTGTTAAAATACAACAAAAAAAATAAATGGAAGCCTCCGGGGACCACGAGTCACGGCAGTCTCCCCACCGGCCCAGCTAGCGCCATTTCGCCCTCACCCACAAAGACAAGCAGGGAGGGGCAGGGAGGGGCAGGGAGGGGCAGGGAGGGGCAGGGAGGGGCAGGGAGGGGCAGGGAGGGGCAGGGAGGGGCAGAAACACACGACGAAGAGCCCATTTGGACTCACGACACGCAATTCTTCATGACTCGACGCGATCAGGACTCATATCACACGTCACTGCATGCACGTGGCCACAAAGCCACACAGCAACGCGACTTAATAAAAAAACGCGCTCTTGGCTTTGGACGAGGGAGGGGCACGTGTCCGTCCCTCCCATGTGATGGTGGCGAGTGGACGGTTGGTCTCTCTTGCGGGGACAACAGTTTTTCCCTCCGCCTCCCCAGCCCCCTCCCCAGCCCCCTCCCCAGCCCCCTCCGCAGCCGCACCTTGTGAGGTTCGTGAAGCGGTTGGAGGACAGCTTGTTGAGGGGCAGAGTCACCAGCTCCCCGTCGGCACTCTTCTTCACACGCAGGTAGAAAATGTTGAAGTCCTGGCGGGTGTTTGTGTGTATGTATGTATGTGTGGGAGGGCGTGGCCGCGCGAGGGGGGGTGATGCATGATGGATTGGGGGGGATGGGTGGGGACTCTCCGGAGGACGTGGGGAAACAGCCCGGGGATGTGGGAGAGCATAAGAAGGGGCCAAGAACAGGAGTGCGCAGGCGTGGCAGGGCGCAAGGTTTGGCGTGGCTGTTGGCGTTGGTACGGCAACGACCCGACAGCGGAAACACACTTTAGTGCGACAACTGCATGTGGTCGTACGTATGTATGTATGTAGCACAAAGTGGCCCCAGCCTGCTGTAAAAATGTCTGGGCGAGCGCGGGCACGTGTAGGACAGGTCTTGTGTGTGCGAGGTCGGCGCCTTGTTTGTTTCCCTTGGTTTTCAGGTGCATGGCTCCCATGCATCAGATTTACCGGCATCCAGTCAGTGAGGAACAGCATTTCTGAGTTCTGACGGGCCGGGGGGGGGCGCCTCGACCATGTCGTACAGTACGACACTTCAGTGTTTGTACGGACGCACGCACGTACCTGTACGACACCCATAACTCTCCATCCGGGGGCCTCCTCAATGACCAGCTCTGTAAAGGTCATCCGTGTCCAAATAGGGGTTTGAGGAGGTTAGAGACACCTCAGTACAGTGCACGGGGTTTTATGTGATACCCAGTGCATATTCATGCATTACATGCAGTACATGCAGTACACGTAACGTGTTAATGGTTAGGCACACGTGAAAGCATCGGTATGAAGCAGCAGGGTCAGGGTGGATGGCTAACACCATGTAAAGCAGGTTAACGGTTGGTCGACACCTTTAAATACCGGTAGGTAGTTAGGTAGGTAGTTAGGTTGGTAAGTAGGTTGGTAAGTAGGCAGGTCAACCGCTTAACAGTTTTTTTGGTTAAGGAACGGGCTGCTGTTACGGACAATCCTTCTACAAATCTAAAGTCCCTCGACTCAGCTCAATTACAGCTGCGCTGCTGCCGCCATACCGCAGTCCTTTCCTCTCCCCCCCCCCCCGGGCCCCACCATCTTACCTTCCCCCACGTCGAACGGCTGCTGAGTCAGGATCAACACGCACCCCAGCAGCACGTGTCTGATGGTGGGCAGGCGAGCAGGTAGGTAGGTGGATAGGTAGGAAGGTAGGCAGGCGCAAATTTAGTAAAGGAGACAGGAAGAGAGACCACGCAGACGGCAATGAACCGCTGGGTGATGAGTTCGGGCATACAGGTCGTGGCAGCAGCAGCAGCAGCAGCAGAAACAGCACGAGGGGGAAGAAGAAGGGAGGAGGAAGGGAGGAGGAGGAAGGGAGGAGGAGGAAAGGGATGGGAGACGGGGAGGACACACAGACACACACACACCCCACCCCACCCGCCCCACCCCACACCCCACCCCACCCTGCCCCAGTCAGCCGCATGTGGATGCAAGGCAACCCCCCAGGGACCTGACCCCGCCCTCGGGGGCCTCCGGAGCTCATCCTGCACAGCATACGCTGATTGACCTCCGAGCCCCTCCTGCTGCTGCCAGCTGTCACCACTCCTTTCCTCAACCAGTCCCTCCACAGTCCCCCCTCCAACGTTGCCCCTCTCTCGGAGCCCCCGGTCTCGGAGCCCCCGGTCTCGGAGCCCCCGGTCTCGCGGAGCCCCCGGTCTCGGAGCCCCCTCTCGCGGAGCCCCCTCTCGCGGAGCCCCCGGTCTCGGAGCCCCCGGTCTCGGAGCCCCCGGTCTCGGAGCCCCCGGTCTCGGAGCCCCCGGTCTCGGAGCCCCCGGTCTGCGACGACTCCAAGACTCCCATCATTTTACTACATGGTACAGCGATCCTTTGTAAGAGAGTCTCATTCGAGGATAAGCCACCTCATTTTCCTCACTTGATTTGCTCGCTGAATATGAGCGACACCACCAGCACGTACACGGAGAATATGTCCAGGGAGGTCTTGGAGCCGCCGCCGCTGGAGAAGAACCTCGCCACATCCAGAATGGACAAGTAGACCGGCACCAGGAAGATGCCTGGTGCGTGCAGATATGCGGGTGGGTGGGATGTGGGTGGGTGGGTGAGGAGGCCGGGAGGAGCAGCAGCAGGATAGCTACAGCTACAGCGACAGTGGCAGTAGCAGCAGCAGCAGTGTGTGGTGAAAGTAGCAAGCGGTCGTAGCAGCGGCGGCGGCAACCCACAGCAACAGACTCGCCATTACAGCAACAGACTCGGCACCAGCGGCGGCGGCGGAGGAGCACATTATTACCGTCCTTTCAGATCTTCCAGGTTTGCCATTGAGATAAGATTAAGATAAGACCACCACCACCACCACCACCACCACCACCACCACCACCACCACCACCGCCAGGACCACGACCACGAAAGCCATGGCTCTCCACCCGCATTGACAGCAGACAGACATCTCCCATCTGCAACCCCAATCCTAGGTATTATCCCCCAATCCTGGGTAGCCCTGCACTCCGGCCCTTACCGGCCCCTGCGAGGTCGTTCTCCCCCCCTCCTCTTCTACAACCCAACTCCCACCAAAGCACCGGGCATTTCCCCCCCCCCCGGACCTCCAGACGCCGCCCTCCCCAGGGGGGGGAGGCAGGACAGCGTGCACGTCGCAGCCGCGCTCGTGCATATGCAGCCCGAGCCGTGCAGACAGTGCTCACCGTTGATGATGGCGATCAAGCTGCTCTGCAGCGATGACGTCAGCCGTCGTACCGCTCGTACAGTCAACGCCATGGAGCGCTGTTGTTGCAGGAAGCTTATGACCGCCGACCTTACATTGTCCCTCGTCAGTTTACCTACGTAGTTTAGTGACATGAGCAGTACAGAAAGTAAGCGCGAGTGAGGAAGTACAAAACGGACGATTTAATGGAAATCATTAACATGGGGTATATCAGGAACGTAATCCACTTTATACATTCTTACTGATGTACACATGCCTATAGACACAGAACACAGGAATACAGAATGGCACGTCGTTCCGACTTGCGACCGAGGAAAATTAGGGAGCAACGATGCCGGCCGAGCAGAGGCAGGTGGGGGCTGCGTGTGGAAGGACCAAAATTTACCAAAATCTAAGAAAATTTAAGAAACTTCTCCTACAAAGCCTAGTCACTTTTGCTATCCTCCATTACCCTCCTCCCCTTTCCATGCCATTCTCGCTTAGCGTTCCATTACCACCACTACGCTTAGAGGCGCCAAAGTAAAAAAGTATCCTGTTCGAATTCGTTGATCCGGCTTCCATGCGCTTTCTCCGTCGAGAGTAATCCCACCCGGACGCATCTGGTGCTCGCTCTACCCAACCCCCTGCACAGTGTGCCACGCCAGTCCTTCCGGCGGCCCGATGTCGTTGACCGATCTCCAACCCCCTCAACCCCCGCATCCACGGACCCCCCATGCAGCCCCAAAATGGACCCCACGCTTGCTTGCATGTATGTGCGGCCCCTCTATTCCCCCCTCCATTCCGCCCCCTCCCTCCCCCACCCCCCCCACACACACCGTCCTTGTCGCCGTCCAGCGCGTCCCAGGCGATTTGCCGGTCCACCTCGTGCGTGAAGATGCTCGCGAGCATCTGTGTCGGAGCGACGAGCGGGGGACGGCAAACGGTGCGGTTGCGAGTGGACAGACGCAAGGGAGACATACATACGCAGAGACACAAAGCGGCACGTGCCAGAGGCGCACGAGCCAGAGACACTAAGTGCAGAGAGGCACAAACCCAAAAGGCACAGAGACACAAAGCGGCAAAGTGCCCGGCCCCAGGTGTACAGAGACACAAAGCGGCAAAGTGCCCGGCCCCAGGTGTACAGAGACACAAAGCGTGTGGAATATCCCGGTGGCGATCTAAAAGGGCTTTTGTTTGACACCTACCTGGACAACCGAAGTTTTTGCCAAATCCGCCGTACCATGATTCACCTGACTTAAAAATCATCTCGAGTCTGCCGCTAAAGGTATGTCGTACCTTCCGTCCTGATGGGCGTCGTACCTGATGGACGAAATCTACCATAAATCCCATTGCTACTTTACGTACTTCACAGATGTGAAGACACCACCGTACCATCACAACGTTCCGCCCTCATCCTCACCACCACCACCACCACCACCACCACCACCACAATCCTCCTCCTCTTCCCCCTCTTCCATGTTATCGGCAGGTTCGCTCTCACCTCTTTCTCAATGGTATCATCGCTCCCGGGGAGACCCACACACTCCCACACAGCCTCCTGGAAAGTAGTCGCAAGAGCCGGAATATCAAGGTCGGACAGGCTGCCGTACACCTGCATGTTTGCAGTACACCATTTCGCACGACAAGACGGCCCAGGGAGGAGAGGAACACCCGTCGTGTACCCGGGGGACATAAGACAGACAAACAGATAAACAAACAGATAGATAGACAGATAGACAGACAGACAGACAGAGACACACACGCACAGCGCACTGCGCGTCAAAGCTGGCCCTTACGAGCACAGCCAGGGGTCCCGTACACACACACGTGCCGAGCAGATCATGGATGGTTGATGCCACGATGGATCCTAACAGGCCGCTGGTAGTGTTGCTGGGGCCCCATAACCCAAGCAACGTGTACGTCAGGAAAGGCCCATAGAAACACCAAACGTGACCATGTTCGTTACTCTCCTAGGAGGTGGCGACTGGAGGCTGTCGCCACCTCCTAGGAGAGTAGGAGGCTGTCGCCACCTCCTAGGACAGCTCTACGGCGGATGTGGTGTGGCAGCGATCTCACCTCGCCTATCCCGCTCATACAAACTTCCTACCATGCAACATCTCTCTCTCGCCCTCTTCCCCCCTCCCCCATCCTCCCTCCCACATCCCCCCTCCCCCATTCCCCCTCCCACATCCCCCATCCCCCCTCCCTCTTCCCCCCTCCCTCTTCCACCCTCCCACACACACCCTCCCCCCTCCACTCTCATACCGCACAGCAAAACAACCAATGAATCAGCTTGGCAGCCAGCTAGTCTGTTAGCCAGCTCGACCAGCCCACAGCCCAATCCGACACCCCCAACACCACACACACACACACACACACATACACATCAGCACCTTGAGCATCTTGTCCAGCAGTGTCCGAGGGTTGATGATCTTGCGAGCGCCGGACTGCCGCAACGCGTGCAGCTGACGGCGGGCGGCACCGTGCGAGGTGGTGGGTGCAAAGCTAGCTCCGGGCTTCTCGGGTAGGCTGACTTCCTGCGCGTGGCATGGCGAGAGAGTTGGGAAGATTGTGTGTGGGGGGTTGGCTATGCAAGAAGCGTAAATTGAATTGGGGAGCAGGGTGAATGAAGGCGAGCACATAGGGCGAAAAATTATGAAGGCTGCTTCTAGGGCTGTAAAATGAAGTTGACAGGAGGGTGTCCTGGGGGTCCTGAGGGTGTTTTAGAGTCGTGGCGCCACCCGGAAGTTGCGGTGTGGCTGTGGCGGAGGGTGCATGGAACATGATGGCCCAAGTTCTTAGGATTCTGTTAGTAGGGGAACGAGAGCGCAGAAGGAAAAGAAATGGCAGAGGGAAAAGAAGAAGATATCACGTACGACAGACGCTGTCCCACTCACGAAACGGATCCACTGGCACACACAGCACGGGAGGACGGGGGAGCCAAAACGCCGTGCGCCCGTGGACACGTTATCTGGCGCCTGTCGTGCGTAGGATCTATTGTTCCATACATCCAACATGCACCCACACGGGACGCGGGGCCCACTTTGCGCGGAAGCAAAGGCTGGGGGGCCCCACAGGCACATGAGGCTCCAACAACGTGGTTAAAGCTCAATAAGGAAAAGAACAGCCCTCTCCAGCCCTCTCGCCGTCCCCCGCGCGACAATATAAGGGAGACGCAAAAGCCTGCGAAGCAATCTTACGCACTCATGCATTACCTATATATTTATTTTGTTTTCGGTTATGTCATCATGGTACGGTGGCCGAGTGGTCTAAGGCGTAGGATTAAGGCTCCTATCCGTAAGGGCGCAGGTTCAAATCCTGCCCGTATCAGTTTGGTCTCATTGGCATGCGTGTTGCAAAGTAAATCAGGGAGTAATTTGAAGGCCTCCCACATATACCCGCATCACTACCAAAAGATCGTTCATAGTCCCCCCGCCTCTTATGGGCACACCCGCACTTGCGGGCGGATCTTGTAACTCGTGCCTCTTATCATTGCCAACGCGTTTCCTCATGGCAATCTCCATCACCACCTACGGGTCCTAGCCCTGGATCCGGTCGGGATCCATGACCATATGGAAGTGCAGGATCTAGGACCACCTGGATCCAAAGCCCCAAGATTCCGCCCAGGCCCCGCGGTGCGCCCGCTAAGACCAGGGGAGTGGATCCTCACCCGCAGCCAGTCGTACACCACCAGCGCTTTCAGCAATGTACGGCGCACGTGCACCATTTCCGTCTCCATCTGCTGGATTTCTTCCTGCAGCGATTTGGACCTCTGACGTTCTCCAGCGCTGAAGTTGACGCTACCGATGCTGCTGCTGCCACTGCGGCTCTTTGTGTCGCTCGCCGCCACCCCTGCCGCCGCCCCTGCATCTTGGCCGCCGATGGCTTGCACCCTGCTTCGTCCAAGTCCCCAGCAGCAACCCCACCGCAAGCAACCGCGGCCGCTTCGCGTGGCTGCCGGCTGCCCGCCGCCCCCTAGCCCGGTTGACACCGCAGCCGCCGCGTTGTTTCCAGCTTGCATGCCGCCGTTGCGGCTTCTGCCAATGCCACCGGTGCCGCCAACATCGCCATCCGAGTTCACGCCTACAACTGCCACTGGAACAGGGACAGAATCCAGATCTGGATTTGGGAAAGATCCCGGATCCGGAACTGCCACGGCGCTGTCGCGTGAGAGCTCCGCGTCACCGGCAGCTCTCTGGGTGGACGCGCCGGAAGCGCCTCCTGAAGTATTGACCGGGGGGCGGCTGCCATTGGCAGCAGCTCCGGCAGCACCGTTGCTAGTCGTTTCCGACGGCAGCGGTGGCAGCGGTATCGGCGCTACCACCGCTCCGTTTGTCCGCGCAGCACCGCCGCCGGCGCTGGGCGGTGGCGGCAACGGCAGCAGCCCGTCGTTGCCTGCTGCTGCTGTTCCTGCTGCTGCTGTTCCTGCTGCTGCAGCTCCTGCTGGTGGTGGTGAGCCTGGGTTCCGGACGTCCATAGCGAAAGTGACTACCGCCGCCGCTGTTGGCCGCTCTGTCGTCGCCGCTGGCGCCGGCGCCGCCAGCGCCGCCGCTGCCGCCGCGGCGTCCACAGAGGTCGTCGGGGTCGGCACCGAAACCTGCCCGCTGACCAAATACCGCAGTCCGGGCCAAGAAGCTCTCAACAAATGTGGATTCTGCCGTAGCATATCCAACGCCATCCCAATGGAACCCTCCCTCTTGCGCTGCTTCTCATCTTCCAGCTTCTTACCGATGAGGCTATACATGACGTGGGCATGCTGTGCCGCGGCGACGTCATACGGTCCCGCCGTCGCCGCCGCGTCGAGCATCATCATGGCGACATCGCCGATGGGCCGGAGGTTGCAGGGACAGGCGCGGACGACGGTTTGCAAAAGAAGAGAACACGATGTTACCCGGGATGGGGCCACATGGGACGTGCGTCAAGATAGCGGGCTCCCTCTTAAATCGAATACTCTACAGGTAGGCCGCTGGAAAGGATGCGCCGCAGGAAAGCGCGCGCGCAGGTGCAGCTATATATTGCAGGGGTAGGAACAGCTGTACGACCGCAGGGTTGCAACTTAGGGGTAGAGAGCCAAACAGGGCATCAGACCCGATCGAAGACGGCGTTTTCTAGTCTTGAATATCGACGACATGCACCGCGTGTCCTCCGTCAACCCATTCTCGGCCGTACCCTTATCGCTACCCCCACCCCTACCAGTATGAATTATGCAGGCGGCCCCGAAGAGGGACGCATGCATGGCAGCTACTGCGCACACAAAGTGCGCCAAAGTGCACTGCGGACACACGGAACACGTTATACCCCTGGCAATGATATGTTTGTTGAATTTAGTAATGTCATCAGCAGAGGAGGGGCTTTAGCTCAGTGGTAGAGCGCGCGCTTCGCATGCGTGAGGTCACCGGATCGATCCCGGTAAGCTCCAATCTGGTTTTACTTTCTGTAATGGAAAGCTAGCGCGTTCGCCCGTATGCCCACCTGCATCGCCGCGACGATCTTCTGTCGACTGCCTTCGCTATAGAACAGCGCCACCACCAGATGGCACAACCCTGATATGGCCATGCTCATACAGGAGGACAGCAGCCAGCATATCAGCAGCCGCCGGACCCACCGTTCAGCCTGCAAGGGAAGGCGCGAACGAAAAAAAACACCTTACATAGTAGTACAAGACCAGAACAAAGCAGACAGCTTTTTTTGACGAAATTGAGTCAGTATGGGGTACGGTCCCACCCAATTCGTACAGTTCCGTACGGTCCCAAGTACGAAACGTTGATGCCACGAGACAGCGTATTCAAGATAAACGGTAACGGTGTATTTCAGCACGTATTCGTATCCTTTAATCCTTTAGTGTCAACTCCAGTCTGGGATGAGCTGCATGGCAGTGGAGCCATTTGCCGCCCCAGGCAGAGGCCGGCACGCGCTGGTGCGGTGTGGCGTGGCTAAATGATTTGGGTCGATTCGGGTCGATTCGGGTCGGTGCCCGGGCCTTCCTACCACAGTGAGCAGCTGCGGCGGTTCATCGCCCACAGTAAAGTCCCGGAACAGTCGGTCGAAGGACACGAAAGCTGCCACAGATGTCAGCCACACCTGCAACGTATCAGGTGGTTTGGAAGCGGATTGCTTGAAAGCGATTTAAACAGGCTTGGAATCGGTTTGGGAGGGGAGCGACGTGACGTGTGTTGCTGGTGGGTTTGACTTGACTTATTAATGGCCACCCAATCCGATGGGCGGATGGCGCTCAGAGCACACACATACATACATACATACATACATACATACATACATACATACATACATACATACATACATACATACATACATACATACATACATACATACATACATACATACATACATACATACATACATACATACATACATACATACATACATACACATTTTGACGGGTGAATGCCGATGCTTCCACGCTGTGTCGCCAAGCCTCTTCCTGTACGACACCGCCCAGCCTTAGCCCCGCATCTCAACATGGACGTTTGGGGCTATCCACCCATCATTCGCAGTTCCACGTACGGCGAGTGGGCACGGGTGTACGGAAGGGACGCAGTACCCACTTCAGCTGGCACGCAGCGGAACAATCGCGCACGCACCTTGCACATCAGATGAGCGGAAGGCAGCATCACCAGCCGTAGGAAAAACTTCAGCTGTGGGGCGGAGGCGCCAGGTACCCGGCGGGCACAGAAACGTTCGGTTCCGGGCGGCCTGCTGTTAGGTCGGAGGCTAACAATGACATCACACCAGTGTTGGAAATGAATCCAAGTTGCACGTCCATTGCAGCGAGGTAGCTAGAATCAGACAGACAGACAGACAGGCAGGCAGACAGATGGGTATAAAAACAGGCATGCAGGCTTCTGGCCATGCAGGCAGAGAATTTTTTGCATGTTGGCGGGCTAATGGCTAGTGGGAGGCTTGACGCACATTCCCGTTGGCATATATGTGCACAGGTGGCAGATGCGGCTCGCTCTCTTGGATGCTCAGCATGCTCCCCGCATCCCTCTTGTGTCTAAATCGCTGCTTAAATCGTTCGCTAGTTCTCCTGCCAAAACTTGCGGATGGGCTGCAGCCTCCTGAGGCCACGCAAGAAAACAAAGGCGTACACGGCACCGGAGCAAAGGTGAAGACGGCATCTTCGCCGCGTTTCGCGTGGTATGTTATTGTGGGTCTCCACGAATTGCCAGGCGGTATGAGAGGTACGAGGTTAGATCCACACCCTTTTCTTCGCCTGCGACTACGACATGACCTGCTTCCGTATCCCCACCTCAAGCCAGAGGTAGACGAATTCCACCAGGCTGTCCAAAATAATCATACTGGCCATGGCGACCCCGAACAGATAAAGCCAGCGGAGGCCGTTGCCCTGGTAAGAGGAGGGATCGAAAGGCCATGCAGTGTCCGTGCGCCCGTGGGGATTAGAAAGGGGTGATGCTAGGGGAATTCCGAGGGAGGCTCCCTGATATAGCTTCCATGGCTGGTAAGGGGTGTCTGAGCGGCCATTTTAACCTAAGGCTGAGGGGCATTTCAGCCCATCTCACCGGTACAATTACACCTTTGATGTCCAGCGCAGATGCAATTGAGACGAGTGCAGCGCCAGTTGCAAACAGCGCCATGAGGAATTTGGTGGTTGGTGGCACGGAAGTGTCGGCGACTGCAACTTTCACCTTGTTGCTGTAACCCGCTAAAGCTGCAAGGCTTGATGGAGGCGCCATTCTGCTCGACAAGTGGCATTTGGTGAGGGCAAGCTCAAGCGACGCTGGAGCACACGAAGGGGCAGCGAAATCCTAATGTGTCTTCGCGGCTCCTTGAACACATATAATAGTATAAATCAGTCATTCCACGTGTAAATAGCTGATGGAAACCAAAAATGAAACATTGACTTGTCATGTACGACAATGGTTGAAAAGCATAATGTTACATATGATCTTTCTGATCAGCCATATGACTTGTAGTTGCTTATTCGGATTTTACCAGGCAAAAACATCTCGCAGCGGCGAAGGAAGTTCACCTTCAATCATTGAAGCATTATGCTTTAGTGTGCCGTGATCCGTTTAGATTTTTTTGGGTTATTGTTAGCTTAAAATTGGAAACTCAAGACTGAGTTAAGTTCCTATGTCATGTGCCGCGACGGATTAAGGCCTAGCTGGATAGGTCAGCCGTCGTCGTCGCTAAGGCAATATAGCATCTAAACGTGCATATGGTGAACAGGTTCTTCGATTATCAACGATCAATAAAGTAATCGCCGTTTATCGTATGCATATGCTCGGTGTGCCGTAGGTATAGTGGATATCCTGGCTGAGGATGGCATGTGGGCGCACTTCAAGGCTCCGGTCGCTTGAAACTGCCCTGAATATTGCTGTATATGGTCGTTATGCGGTTGAAACACCTTGCGGTAGAGCGAGAAGGCAATCGTGTAGGGCTGCCTAACCCCCCGGCCCGCAAAAGCATGCACAGCGCATCCCTCAAAAGTTAGTTTACAGCAGGGTTAATGTTGGCTAGTCTTGCTTACAGTAGGCCGGAAAGGCTTACTGGCGCGCACAGCCGCAACTCGCACCTAGAACTGCAAAACGTGACGGATTCCGCAAGACCAGCTATGGACCAGCGACTCCAGCGACTCCGTCTAGAGTGTCCTAACCCTAAGTGGAGTGAGTCATCCACTGAACTTTTGCTATGCATTCTTTGCCCAAGGTCAAGAACCGCAGTGGTGGCAGTCGCTGCTGCATGCATCATTCTGTCGCATAACATCGCAGAGTGCTGCAGCTTCTGAGGCAGCGCTGAACATTCCCTGAAAGACTTTTCTGGAGCTTGCCTTTGCCAAAGTACAGTCAGCGCCGCGATGCTGCAACATGCTTCAAACTAGCCACACACGCGTTTCGAAATTGGTAATAACCGCCCCACAAGGAGCTGTCAACCCTCAACATAATTATACAGTATCTGAGTTTGCGGACCGCATCAGTTACCGATGACCCGATGACCTATTTGGATCCCTGTAACGTTATTCAACAAGCATATCCTGTGGAAGAAATAAAGCGATACTTCCATATTTCCTTCCGGAACCTCAACATCTGTCAGCAATTTTGGGTTGCTGGGACCACTGAGACGTAAGCCCGTCGTCATCCTTTAGGTTACACGCCGACAGGATCCCAAACTCCCTTTGAAAATGACCTTGCGTTTTTTTGTATCCGCGAGGACACAGATAGATCACTGATAGACACGTCAGCGCGTTTAAAGGTTATTGACATTGCCAACCTTGAGATATGTCGGAACCTTAGACCTTGCCTGCGCCGTACGCAACATTTTGTGCGAGCTGGTTTCGGAGCATGACACCTTACAATATCATCTGAGCCTTTGCCAGTAGTATAAGATACGACTACCGAGTATCATTGTTAACCAGAAGACTGGACCACTTGTGAAGTGGAATTTTACCACGAGGCTTTGCTTCGTTGTGCCTTCCGGCTGTTGCTGTCTTAAGACCGTCGCCCTCGACAGTCAAGTTTCCCGGCCCGCTGAGAACCGTGTTTTTTCCCCCGCGCTAAGCGAGATGTCGCCCAGTCGTCGTGCTCCGTTGCTGGTCGCAGCGCCGCTGCTGTTGCTGCTCTGTGTGGGTGCGAGCGCCTCCCTGCAGCGCACGACGGGCGGCACCACCACCACGAGCAGCCTCAAGGCAATCGAGGTAAAGAGTCCGTCAGCGTCCCCAGCGGACGGGTAGACAATTATGCCTGTATCCAGCCATCGACAAAAGGTCCAGAGTTGAGGTAGCCAGCGGTACCTTATGACCCGTGGGTCATCCCTATGATTTAGATAGCAAAACAGCAGTGCTGCTGATAATATGTTGATAGTGCTGATAGTGTTGCCGAGCGTAGAAGGGGCCGTTTCAGAAATGCCACTTAAGCCCGCATGAGGCAGTTAGGTACGGTCATCCTGGAAGTTGATATTGCCTAACAACCCCTCCCAACCGTTGTACTTCGCCTGCTACACCTGCTGTATCGTTAGTGGCTGATGCGCCGTGGAGGCGAGGGCATGAAAAGCCCCGCGTACCTGCTGATCAAGTACGAGGTGCCCCCGACACTGCACGACCGCTTCATTGAGGAACTGTGAGTAGTAGTAAGCAGTAGTACGACGACGGGACGGATATGCAGGGAGTGCTTCTGGTGGAAGCATGCGTGGAAGCATGCGTGCCTTAGGAGCTTGTGCCCAGGGGTTTGTGCCTGGGGGGACATGAGTAGGGAGCCAGACCTTGACCGGATTTGACACGCCCTCGCGTCGCAGGGATCGCCATGACAAGGTGTTGCGCGATGTCAAGGGCCTTAGCTTCTACCAGAAGACCAAGGACATGGACGACAACGTCATGTTCTGGAGCTACACGGAGTGGGACACAGTCGGCGACCTGATGGACCACTGCGAGTAAGTATTCCCGTCTGATTTGTGTAAAAATAACAAAAGCTGTTTTGTGTGATACTGATTTTTCACAGCTTTCATTCCACCTGTGCGAGAGCCTCCCTGTAATGCTTAGTTGCCAAGTCTTTTAAGTACTGTAGTCTCGAGTCAAGGTTTATCATAGTACTTGGGCTTTGAGATCTAGCAAACTTCCTAATGCGAACCTGCTGCAAGAACGTTGCCTTGGCCTCCAGAATCTTACCCTGGTCGGTTAAGATTTGAACAGAGGTTTACTTCACAACCGAAACCAGCCTCTTCTTACTTAAGTGTCTCTTTTGCGTCGCTTCCATTTACCAGGTCCACCGCGTTCAAGGACTTCCACAACTTTGTGGATGACAACGACATCTTGGTGGAGATGTTCCCGCTGGAGGCGCTCGGAGATGAGAAGCGAGTAAGTTTCGTCGCCACAATAGTTTGGCATACACGGCCACGCTCGCAACCCCATCTTGCTTCTGCAAGCTATACTCATACCGGCCATCTATGTTGTGTAAAGGTATCAATGCTGACCTGCCGACCCTCCACTTCACAACAGGAGTACCGCGCGGATCGCGAGGGTGAGAAGGCCGCCACCGCCGCCCGTGCTGCCGCCGCCAAGGACCTGGAGCGCCGCCGCCGCCGTGGTCGCGAGATCGAGGAGTTTGACCCCCGCGAGGAGACCGCCCACTTTGCCATCCGCTTCCACATCATGCCATCACAGGTAAAGTGTCGCCATAAATTTTTCGCTGCGTGTTGGGCCACCAACGAGGATAACTCCAAAATATGTTCTTTAGAAAACGGAGCTGCAGCTGTGCAATTGTGCACTCGTGCATTGCTTTAATTCATTTGGACATTCGTCCCAGAAGCTGGCCGCGCCCGCGCGTGCATTACCTTCCTAGAGTCATGTCAGCTTGCTTGAATCAGGCTGCGAGCGAAACCTAATAACCCAGTCTCGAAGCAGGCTGTTGTGGGTGGGCTTCATTTCGACTTGCTGCTAGTACCTTTCCGCGCTGCGGCCGCCGTAACTTCGCCTGTCCGGTTCAGCTAGGTTTTTAAGTGTCGAAACACTGTCTTGTTGTATGCTGCTAGGAGGAGGACTTCCTGAACTTCGTGGAGGACATGCAGAAGCGCGTGGTGAAGGTCGAGGACGAGAACCGCTTCTTCGTGTAAGTGCCTTGTAACGCCTTTTTCGATCCGCACCAGCGGCCAATATGACGGAGGGCCTTACCACACCACTCGCCTGCATCGTCAACTTTGCCTGTCATATGCAAAAAAGAGCGCGACTTTTCTTTGTGTGAGCATATTAACAGCTCCTCCCGAAGGACTCGCCCTTCGTGTTTTTTTCGGTGTGCCATGATTTGGATTTCGTTTAGGTTGCTAAGGCAACCTGAGGCCGGCACAGCCGATAACCCCTTCCCCTTTCACGTGCACTGCATTAAGAGCGCCTGCTCTCGTCTAGGCTAGAGAAGACGTCTAGAAAACGCCTAGCTGGAGAAATAAATTATTAATAAGCTAATGGCGTCCCACCCCTTCCACGCCCTTTTTACCCTATACCTAAGTTCGTTGCCCTTGTCCCCCCGCCCCGGCCCGCTTGGTGTCGCGTACCATTTTGGCGGCAGCCTCCGCAAGTTCGCCACCATGAACCACCACTACCTGCTCCGTAGTGCCTGGGACACTCTCGAAGGCTATCTGGACCACGTCACTTCCGACCACTGCATGAATCTGCGAGCGTGAGTGTACTGGCTGCCGGGCTGCTTTGGTGGAGTGCTCCACTTGCTCCTCTTGAAATGGACTCCGTGCAGCTACCTGTAAAACTGTGATCGGGGAAAGAATTAATGTGATCGGAGAGGCGCATCGCAAGGCGTGACCCGACGTACATTGCACACAGTGGCAAGAAACCTGGGGCATTCAGGGCTGGCGGTACCGCTTCCGGGACTTTGGCTTCCGGAACTGAGCTGACGGATTGAGGGGCTGACGAGGCGCCTGCTGGCCGATACGTTTTCGGAAGGTTAACCTTCCGGCACTGGCCAGGCGTCAGCTCCGAAGGGGTTCCCAGCTCGAAACCGATTGGAACTTTCTTTTAAGGTCTGCCCTGGCATTTATTGTGCCCAAGATGTAAGAAGAATCTAGCGGCTGAAGCCTTGGAGATTTTGGCAGTTTAATCTATGTTTTGCTGCTGAGCTGCTCTAGAGCAGATCTGCTGTCACTGTCCTTGCGTGTCGCTGTCCTTCCCTGCCTTTCCTCTGCACGTCTCCAGCTGTTTTGCGCCGTTTTGAATGTCTTGATTTATTAATAATATGCCGTCTATCCATCGTGTTAATCGACAGGTTCGCCAAGAAGAACAACATCGAGTGGTACGGCATTCCCTTCCGTGTGCTCTTCAGCAGCGAGGATACCACCGAGTAAAGAATGGATGCTTCGATGCGCCGAATGGCTGCCGGGCTATCGGCATAGCGGGGGCGGGCAACGCCGGCTTGATGATGATACGTTTTTTCTCGAGGGCCTGGCAACCCATTTCGACCTTCCGGGGGCCTATGCTAGGCAAGCCCTGTCGCATGGGTTATAACGCCTTAGGGCGTTCATTTTTGGTCGGTCGGTCACTGCCCAATATTAGGCCGCCAGTGGCCGCCGCGCCCTCTTCCCTATTGCCTATTTAGGATTGCAGTAGTTGCCCATCCATGCGGAACAATGTTGTCGCTGTTGATTGCTGTACATATATGTTGTTAACGGCATTTTTGGACATTTAACTCGCGTTGTGCGTGGTGTGTAAATACTGCCCTGTGGATACCGGCTCGGAAGGGAAGATGTTTTAGGATAGTAGCTAGTATTCCTGGCCGTACAAATTAATTGGAGGCCTGCACGACTCGAAAAAAATGCCGCCGCTGCCTGGCATGTAGTCGGCTGTTTTGGGCTTTTCCGTATGGTGGAAATCAACACCGTGCTCTTGTAAAATCCGGGTGTTCCTTATCTGCTTCCGATTGGGCGGAGCCTGCCGCTTTGGTTATTATTGAAATTATTTTCAGATGCTAGAAGTCTCGTCGGGACTTTGCCCTTCGGGACTTTCTTCTCTGCGCTGCATTTAGGGAAGGACCGGGCGGCGGCTTTGTCCCGAGGATTGGAACCCGGAGGCGTTGGAACAGGCTGGCTCGAGCACCGCGGGCAAAGCACCAGCTACACCTGTACATCTGAAGACTCGCGCAGCAGCTAAACTGCTGTAGGAGTTTATCGAACAGGTCGGAACTAGCCAAAATCCACTTTCCCTTTATCTCAAAAAGTCTAAAAATTGATCCTAAATCTATGAAAATTACGATCGATTCGTAATGTCATTATATAAATTTTATCTCGGAGGAGAGGCCATCGCAGTTCCATCGGACTAACCTTTTTCGTAGGTTTTTGAACTCCTTGGTCAAGAGGCCCGCGTGCTGTATCATGCTGCATGAAAGGAATAAAGCGCTTTGGTACACTCTATTGATAAAAGTTCATTATTTACTAGAACAGGACAACCTAACAAACCAGGAGACTCGTGCAGTCTGCAGTACCTTGTGCAGTACCTTGTGCTGGTGTGGACGGTACCGTGCTGAACCCGCGCTGTCGCAGGCCGTGAAAGATCTGGAGGCGACGGTCAAAGCGCGCACTCGTAAGTGTGTGTGATTGGGGAGAAGGGCTTCCCGCAGAGCTGGAAGCATTCTTCTGCGGTGTCTGGTTGCCTGCGTCTGCTTTCACCGCTTCAGCGCTTCACCGTTGCTTTCACCGCTAATAGTCCCTTTCGGGTCGAGTGTCCCTCGGGCCTTCACTCCCACATCATCACCTGCCCTGTCAGCTGGTTAAGGACGCCTCGTGTTGCGCCGCGATCAGCTCTAATTGTAGGGTCGCAGCTCTCAGGTCTTGAACCGGAGACGCCCGGGATTCTCTTGCGGTGTCACACTCTGTCACCCGGTGTCACACTCTGCTGCACATACGAAAGCCTGAGACTAGGAATGCGGCTGGCTGCTCTGTCTACCCTTGCGCTTCCCGAAATCTCACAGATACGAGCGGGACATCAAGCCCCCACGCTACTCTCGACAAAAGTAAGTCTCTCCACCTCCTGGGTTACTATCATGGTCGGGAGTTCCCTTTTCCTATTAAGCCATGGGCTCACACTCTGTGGACCTGTACTTGGGGTTACAAGTCAGCTATCGCCCATTTATTAGCTCCACATGTCTAGCTTCACCGGGGCCCGCTATGTAACCTGTTGGGGGATCTGCTTGGGAAATGCATCTGTGACACCAGTCGCAAAATATCTGTCGCGAACTACGGATAGCTCTCTTCTTGTGGCACTGCCGGTATCCTCTCGGCGTCCGCGAGCGTCTTTGCTTTTCATCGTGTTCAGCGCGTGTTGCCCGGTTGTTTTGCAGTGCGGAGGCCCTGCAGGCCGTACAAGGTTTCCAGGACCAGCTCAATAAGGCCACAGTGGAGATCACGTAAGGCGACGGGGCTTGAATGAGGGGAACTGGAAAGCACATGGCAGACGGAAAGGCCGGTTAGGGCTGGCGTGAGTAATTCGGAATGGGCCATGGTGTATTGGCCCACCAATAGCCAATAGCGCCTGGTGTATTGTCGTGTGCCAGAGACATTTTTGTGCTATCGTCTTTGGCTGGTGTCTGGCGTAATGGATGTCCCGGCGGATCTTATTCGTAAGCACGAAGTCTTACCCCAACCACGTGAGACCACGTGTTAGGGTAAGACTTCGTGCAAGTGCCTGGGTCATTTAGTGAGTTTTAGGAATCCTTTTTTTTGGTAGGCTAGCGAAGTCTCAGCATAAAATAAATGACGTTCGCATGTTCGTTGACCGTGTAAGCCTAAAACGGGAGAGGCAAGAGCGGAGGGCCACAATAGTTGATCTTGGTGTTGGTGCCATTTGCGGTGATCGTGCAAGTGCGCGAGTGAACGAGCTTTGTAAGCACGACGGCTGCGCCATAAGTGAAACTCGTTCAGCTAGAAAACCATTATCCCGATGACACCGTCGTTTTCATTTTACTTGAGTTGCTTGAGTCGACGGGGTCTGCGGTGATCTTCTAAAAGAGTTCACTAATGCGATGCGATGAAAGAATATTTTACTAATGTGTGCGTTCACATCAATGGTCGCAGCTTACTGTTATCAATGAAATGTATAATAATACTTGCAAACCTTCTTGAGTGTATGTTCGCTCGCGTCCGTCTTTTCTCGTGGTGCGTGTGTGACGGCCTTGACGTTCACGACTTTGATCACATGCGTGAAAAAATACTACCAGTCGTAATAAAAGTACCATTTGCGTCCTCGGTTCCCTTGCATTTGACCTCAGCGCTGGCGCTTTGATCGCTGCGGAAGTCGGGGAAGGTGCTCCCCGTGCTACAGGCCTCTACCTCCTCTACATGGACCTCTACATGGACCTTTACATGGACCTTTACATGGACCTTTACATGGACCTTTACATGGACCGTTTCTAACTATTAATGCTGAAACACACCTGTCACCCCCTCAAGGACTGTAGCAGAGTTTCGCAACCCCTTGGTCAGGAAACAGACCAATGACGCTGCATGTGGAGGACCAGTAACACCTTAAAATCAATGGGCTTTTCCGAGGTGCCGAAATGGACGATTGCTTCTACATGCGCCGTGGCAATCCTTGTCAAAGCCTGTCCATGCCGTACATACACGTGACAGCTTTGTTGAGTCAAACCGTGCTCTCGAGTCATTTTCGGATCATCTTTGACGTAATTGACTAAAAAGCAACCTTGCGATTTACGTCCCCTAGACACGGACCTTGCACCTTACCAAGCGCGCGTGGCTTTCGGCACCGCTCGAATATATACGCTCAAAATTAAGCAACCTTATCTCACTCTTTTTCATCATGTGATAAGGAACCACAATTCAAAGGGCGCGCAAACCCAACCTTGGTGTGACAGCACCCGAAGTCACCTTGTCTGCATCGTACCCATCTCAAACTTGTTGGTTTCGGAGCATGATCATCGCCGACATCATCAGGAACCCTTTGCCAATAATAATAGTATAAAAGGCACGGCCTGAAGATTCAAAAAAGCAAGTCCCGAACGTGTTCTGAAATAAGAAGTTTCCCCGAGGACCAGGTCAACCCATAATAAGTCCTACCCGACCTTTCTCGCGACTATTTTGATTGGCCTACGGGGCCTGCTTTGCTGCGTCCTTCTGTAGTCCACCTCGTAATATGTCCCCCAGTCGGCGTCCTCCGCTGCTGGCCGCAGCGCCGCTCCTGCTGCTGCTATGTGTGGGTGCGAGCGCCTACCGCTCATCACCTGCCTCCTCATCCCTGCACCGCACGACGGGCGGCACCACCGCCACGAGCAGCCTCAAGGCAATCGAGGTATATGAAGGTCTTATCCTCTTACCACCCTAGATTGAGAGACCCTAGCTACGCTTACGAAGCGCAAGTCTTGACTCGTAATAGCCGTTCGGCAAGGGCTCAAGAACTGCGATCTTAGTTGCTTCTCTTAGACCCCTTATAATGATTGACGCGCGTCGGCTGGCCTGTTGTCATCGGTTGGCCATGACCCGTGGGTCATTAACTTGCGCTTGGTGGCGGCTGCGGGGCCTGTACGCTTACTGCTGGTGCAGCAGCGCAAATGGATTTTCTCTGATATGCGGATGATGCTCTAGGACTAGTAGGTGCGCTTGCACTGCCCAGCACTGCTCCCCCCTGCCTGCACTGCTCCCCCCTGCCTGCACTGCTCCCCCCTGCCTGCACTGCCCCCCCCTGCCTGCACTGCCCCCCCCTGCCTGCACTGCCCCCCCCTGCCTGCACTGCCCCCCCCTGCCTGCACTGCCCCCCCCTGCCTGCACTGCCCCCCCCTGCCTGCACTGCCCCCCCCTGCCTGCACTGCTCCCCCCTGCCTGCACTGCTCCCCCCTGCCTGCACTGCTCCCCCCTGCCTGCACTGCTCCCCCCTGCCTGCACTGCTCCCCCCTGCCTGCACTGCTCCCCCCTGCCTGCATTGCTCCCCAAACAGCTAGGTTACGTACGCCGACCTTGTCCTACGAAGGGAATAGTTTCCCCTATCTTTTACAGCGCAGTACCTTCATGAAAGTATTGCCGCCTTGTTGGGGTCATCACGCAGTTGATGAAGAGCACTAAAGCTCCAACCCCTGCAAAGCACTGTCCTCCTGTCTTGTGCTGTGCCGATCTGTCATGAACATTTCCCTGCGGCCGCTCCTTCCATGCGTCATCATTAGTGGCTGATGCGCCGCGGTGGTGAGGGCATGAAGAGCCCCGCGTACCTGCTGATCAAGTACGAGGTGCCCCCGACACTGCACGACCGCTTCATTGAGGAACTGTGAGTAGTAGTACGCAGTAGTACGACGACGGGACGAATATGCAGGGAGTGCTTCTGGTGGAAGCATGCGTGCCTAAGGAGCTTGTGCCCAGGGGTTTGTGCCTGGGGGGACATGAGTAGGGAGCCAGACCTTGACCGGATTTGACACTCCCTCGCGTCGCAGGGATCGCCACGACAAGGTGTTGCGCGATGTCAAGGGCCTTAGCTTCTACCAGAAGACCAAGGACATGGACGACAACGTCATGTTCTGGAGCTACACGGAGTGGGACACAGTCGGCGACCTGATGGACCACTGCGAGTGAGCGTTACGATCACCTTAGCGATATGACCACCTTGTGCACCGCGCACCTTAAAAGATGTTCGTCTTAAGGTACTTGCTAGACAAGACTTGCTAGACAAGATAAACTGGATTTAGTAGGTATTGATAAGGTTGCGCGCGGATCATGCGATATCTACCTGGGGAAGATGTTTATCAAGTTGCGTGCTTTCATGGCAAAGTCATCCTTAGGGCAAGCCAATAAATGCGTGCAGGAATGCGCCTCCGGCGCTAAAACGGAGGCCTTTGCTGTCAGCAGTCTGGGTGAAGCTCAAAACGATGTTGCCCCTCGCTTTTATATCTATCAGGTCCACCGCGTTCAAGGACTTCCACAACTGGGTGGATGACAACGACATCCTGGTGGAGATGTTCCCGCTGGAGGCGCTCGGAGATGAGAAGCGGGTAAGTACCATCGTGTTACGATTTCGAATTACGGCTGCATATGTTTCGCAAAGAGAAAAAAGAACGTTGGTTGGTTCCCGCGTTCCCGAGCGCTCTTGTGCCGCTGCACCTTGTGCCGCGGCATTTAATGTATTTTTATTGCTGCTGTATTTATCGCGCCCACCTGCACCGGCCCCTTGTTGGCTTCCCCCTGTCCGTTAGCTGCCTCCTCCCGCTTCGGACTGCAGCGCAGTCTGCTGCTGTGCTTCGTACCAACGCCTTGCGCTCATCCACTGGCTTCTCCCGCCGTGCCCTACATTTTCCCCTGAACAGGAGTACCGCGCGGATCGCGAGGGCGAGAAGGCCGCCACCGCCGCCCGTGCCGCCGCCGCCAAGGACCTGGAGCGCCGCCGCCGCCGTGGTCGTGAGATCGAGGACTTCGACCCCCGCGAGGAGACCGCCCACTTTGCCATCCGCTTCCACATCATGCCATCACAGGTAAAGTGTCGCCTTGACTAGAAGCTTTCCTTACAGCGTGCTGGCGGCCCTCCTCCCTTCGTGGGAGGCTCACTGGTCCACTGGCGCAGAAGCTCCTCGTCGTTTAGTAGCCCAACAAGTGCCCGCGACGATTTTCACGTGCTTTGGGTTTTGGTGCTTTACGCTGCACGGATTGCATTTGCGTCTCCGATTGCAATTGCGTCTCGCGTCGTGGAGCCAACCCCGCTCTTTTCCCTTTTCCAACATCACACCGTCTGCCCGTATTGCGCTAGGTAAGCCTGCTTGCACCTTTTGCTATAGGTTCCCTGCCGGACCAAACGCCACGCTTTAAGCTCCGAATCCCCTACGTACCTCCCCCCCGCTTACGTGGACTTCCCAACTCCCTCGCTTTAGGAGGAGGACTTCCTGAACTTCGTCCAGGATGTGCAGAAGCGCGTGGTGAAGGATGAGGACGAGAACCGCTTCTTCGTGTAAGCAAAGGCGTGCGGACTCGTTTCCCATGCAATACGGGTATTACTGCCAGGACTTGTTATTACTGCCAGGACTTGTTATTACTGCCAGGACTTGTTATTACTGCCAGGACTTGTTATTACTGCCAGGACTTGTTATTAATGCCAGGGGCTGTCCCTGGCCTGGGCTGGGACCTCAATTTAACGATCAGTCGTCCCGTTATAACTCATATCGCCAAGCTATCTGCGCTGGCCGCCCTCTGGCCGCCCTGTCATATCGCTACACTTATGATGATGAACGACACCCATGCTTGCCGCAACACATGCGCGACGCCATGCCTGCCGTACTTCGCAGCCTCCGCAAGTTCGCCACCATGAACCACCACTACCTGATTCGCGGCGCCTGGGACACCTTCGAAGGCTACCTGGACCACATCACCTCCAAGCACTCCATGAACTTGCGAGGGTGAGTACTGGCTGGCTGGCTCTTGAGAGCGGCGCCGAGTAAGAGGCGACCCGGCAACGGGAGACGCTGGTTGGGGCAGCAGGAGGGCCTGGGCGCCGTCCTGAATCTCTTGTGGAGAACGTTTGGGTAGCAGCACCGGACAACTGAATTTATTCATGTGCGCACGCGCTCGTAGCACTTGGTGCGTCGACAGCCAGCAGAAGCAGAAGTGTAGCAGACTGGTTGCATGCCGTGCGATGTTATGGACAACTAAACCCAGCTTCCCAAGTAGACAAAAAATACATTCCATGCGCATATCGGCCAAGGTCAAAATGTGCCATCCTCCCATCCCATCCTTTTTTCGACAGGTTCGCCAAGGACAACAACATCGAGTGGTACGGCATTCCCTTCCGTGTGCTCTATACCAGCGAGGATACCACCGAGTACAAGGTTTGAGCAGAGATGATTCACGCCGCGACATGGCAACGCTGCTGCGAGGAGAGGGCAGTCGGCGCCTTTGGTGGTGGTGGAGGGGGCCCCGGGATGGATATCCGTTGTGAAGTGATGGGAGGTCTGCGTGGCGGGGTTCGCTGTGGGGTGTCTGCATAGTGCCGGCAGGGGCGATATAGCTGGGGGAACTAGCCAGCAAGATCTGAAGCCATATTTTTGCCATCCATGGCTGAAAGATGAGTTGCCAAGCATACATGGCCTGGTAGGGGCCTGTACACCTTCGCATGGGCTGCATCAACCGTTGCTTGTCTGGGCATCACTCAGGCAACACTAAAGGCCTAGGCAAAGCCACCCTAGCTCCACATGTAGGTAGGTATTCGCGTATGTTGCAGCTTTGGATATTGTTCGTGTATGTTGCAGCGTGATGTTAATTATGCACGAATGTCCGTGGAAGCGCAAGTGTCCTTGCTGGATTGCCGCACAGCGCTTGTTGACCGCTCGCGTTGATTCGTGTTGAGACTGTTGGCATTTTGTACGCGGCCTTTTGAAAGTTGTTGCTACTGGACGCTTCACGCCGCGGTCGTTAGCTATTCTTGCCAACCGCCAAAGTGCTTTTGAGCTGATGAAGCCAGGATTCGAATGCATAGGTAGAAATGGAACGGCACACGCAGCGAATGTAAGCTCCAGTAACTGACAATATCTCAATTCTTCAATGACTCAACATTATTAGCTTACGTACTACTACTGGCTAGGCAAAGCATACCGAACGTAGTGAGTCCAAAATCCAGATTGGTGCATGCCCAAGTAGGACGCAGCACCCAAACCGCACGAGCATGCGAGTTTTTTTCCAGAATTGATCCAAATTGGAAGTCCATGGATGCCTTCTTTGGTGTGTGGGAATATTTTTGCGGTGCGCTCATTAGCCTTTAGTAAACCAGCCTGCAGGTGGATTGCGTCCTCGCCAAACCTAAACAGAGGTTGGCACCCTTGTAAAGCAGGCATATATTTGCTGAAACGCTGTTAACGTTTTTGAGCATGTTAGCTTCAACAGGCATCCAAAAACTAGCTAGTAAAGCTATAAACTAGCTAGTAAAGCTATAGCTTTACTAAGCCGTTTGAAATACCTACCCTGGATGCCAAGTGACATCAAAGCACATTACAAGTATTTAAGGCTGCAGATTACAGTTAACTAGTTTCCATTCTCTTCTGATTCATACCCGCACCGCGAAGTTTGTGACCTAGCGGATTGCTCGTTGCCTGTCATGGGCTGTGTAGGTCCAGGCCTTCAGTTAAGTGTATGTAATGAGTTGCCGAATAACATATTAAACAGGTAACTGATTAAACTGGTAATCCGGCCCTCAGGTGAGTGCAAGAACGATTATCGTCATAGAGTACATTGAATTGCAGAAGCAACTGAATGGAATCGGAGACAACTACTGAACTGACGAGAAGTCTGTTATCTTCGCGATCCAAACAGCATCCTGCACCAGCCTTTCCGGTCAAGCAACTTGTTGCTCGGTAAATCAACAGTTCAGGAAATAATTTATTATGCCTTATCCCGTGACAACTATGACGGATTTGAACAGCAAGTCATCAACCTTGTCGAAGGACGCAGAAACCTAACCTTTTAGGGACGATGTTCAAATGAACTCGCCTCGTCCGCATCTGGCGCATTCTTGCACGTTGCAGAACAACCTCGGACGGAATTGTCACTTTGTAATTGTCACATAATTGCTAAGGTTTCAGCACGGTTTGTACGGCCCCTTTTAGCATTAGTTCAAAAAGCTAAATGTCTTATTTGCTCAAGCAACAAGAGCGAGCCAGACTCCGACTAGCTTGTTGTACATCCTAAATCTCTTCCTACTGACAAACCTTGAGGCTTTATTTCCCTTTCCTCCGCATCCTTTGCTGCCGTCTACCAAAATGTCGCCCAGTCGACGTGTCCCGCTGCTGGTCGCAGCGCCGCTGCTGCTGCTGCTGTGTGTGGGTGCGAGCGCCTACCGCTCACCTGCCGCCTCATCCCTGCACCGCACGGCGGGCGGCACCACCACGAGCAGCCTCAAGGCAATTGAGGTAAAGAGTAGCCACCGTCCCCAGCCGTGCAGAGCTGATGACTGAAGAACACAAGGACCGAGCAAGATAACATACGTGATTGATTGATCGGCGGTAGCCTAACTAAGCTAGGGTTTGGGTTTTGGGGTTGTGTTTGGGGTTAGGTTGTTGTTGGCTGGTGTGTGGCGATCTATTCCACTGGATCATATTTCCAGACAGAGTTGTAAGGCGACTGTCAAAGCTGCGCCTGCTCCTGCTGCTGTTGAGCCGTAGCGCTCATACTGCTCTTATCCTCTGCTGCCCTGATCCGCCATGGATATGCACAACATTTCCCTGCTGCCGCGCCTTCCATGCGTCATCATTAGTGGCTGATGCGCCGTGGAGGCGAGGGCATGGAGAACCGCCCCGCGTACCTGCTGATCAAGTACGAGGTGCCCCCGACACTGCACGACCGCTTCATTGAGGAACTGTGAGTAGCAGTACGCAGTAGTACGACGACGGGACGAATATGCAGGGAGTGCTTCTGGTGGAAGCATGCGTGCCTAAGGAGCTTGTGCCCAGGGGTTTATGCCTGGGGGAACATGAGTAGGGAGCCAGACCTTGACCGGATTTGACACTCCCTCGCGTCGCAGGGATCGCCACGACAAGGTGTTGCGCGATGTCAAGGGCCTGAGCTTCTACCAGAAGACCAAGGACATGGACGACAACGTCATGTTCTGCAGCTACACGGAGTGGGACACAGTCGGCGACCTGATGGATCATTGCGAGTGAGTAAGAAAAGATGTTTTTATGTTTCTCGGTGCGGAAAAAGGAAATTTGGGTGCTTTGACGGAGGGCATGGTAGCTTTTATGCTTAAGAAAGTGAGCCTATTGGGTAAATTCATAGGGGGTGCAGTGCGCGACAATCCCGTCTTTTTTGCGCGAGACCGAGAGCTGCGTCGCGGTGCCAGCCTTCGTTTAGTGTACTGGCAGAAGAAATCTCTCTGGAAATTTATTCGGACAGCAAACTGCAGCTCTGCAGCACTATCCCGACGGACAGCAAACTGTTTTGCTTTTCAGAAATGGCCCAACTTTTATGACGATGTTGCCCCTCGCTTTCATATCTATCAGGTCCACCGCGTTCAAGGACTTCCACAACTGGGTGGATGACAACGACATCCTGGTGGAGATGTTCCCGTTGGAGGCTCTCGGAGATGAGAAGCGGGTAAGTATGCACGTCGTGTGCGGGATTTTACAGTGATCGGTTAGATCAAATCCTCCTAGACTCTCTTGCCTACACCAGTAGGTTTGTTATCTGCCAGGCGGTATCGGCGGCCATTCCCTCGATTGCAGTCTTGCACATGCCCTGCTGCGTCTTGCCTGCGGCACGTGTCCGTCCGCTACCGTTCCTTCGCCTCATCGCGTGCGATGGCACTGTGTTGTCCACAATCGCTGCCTTCCCCCTATATTTCCCCTGAACAGGAGTACCGCGCGGATCGCGAGGGTGAGAAGGCCGCCACCGCCGCCCGTGCTGCCGCCGCCAAGGACCTGGAGCGCCGCCGCCGCCGTGGTCGCGAGATCGAGGAATTTGACCCCCGCGAGGAGACCGCCCACTTTGCCATCCGCTTCCACATCATGCCATCACAGGTATCCTTTCATTTCTGAAAGGTTTCCCGGCTGCGCGTCGCGCTTCTAATCCTTCCCGCGGCCTGTTGAGTCACAAAAAGCCAAGCAGTGCGTTTCATCCGTAGTCCGTGGCGGAATATATTCGGTTGTCCCTCGCTTGTCAAAGATTGGTTTTTCAGTTTAAACGGCATTCGTTTCAGTTGACACTAAACACTTGTATTGAGGTGCCGTTGCTCACCAGGCCGCTCCAGCCCTCGGTCAGTCCGCTGTGTGCCACTGCTCCTCCAGTCTTATCTGCGATACCCCGATGCCACGCACCGCTCCCCGCGCCTCGATACCCCTCTTATTCCTCACTTCATAGGAGGAGGACTTCCTGAACTTCGTCCAGGATGTGCAGAAGCGCGTGGTGAAGGATGAGGACGAGAACCGCTTCTTTGTGTGAGTGGAGAGATGGGACGCAACACCCGTCGCGACCGCATTTAGGATGACCTCCCGCGTACCCGCATCAATACCAATACAACGTCCATGGCCCCCCCGGCTTTTACGGACACACCCGCACTTGTGTGCGGAACTTGTAACTTGTAACTTCAGGGGAAAGTCACCCCCTATAGGAGAACCAAACCATCCGTAGCGAGCAGTGACTTTCGCCACTCATAAAACACACTTTAGAATAAAACTCTAATTTCAGTTTTCCTCTTGTTATTTTACAGAAATACACGTTAGGTTGAGTTTTGGGATACTCTTATCATCCCGACCATCCGCCCGGACCTGTCTTATCACCGTGTTCCCTTGCCATCCCCTGGGCCGCCGTACTTCGCAGCCTCCGCAAGTTCGCCACCATGAACCACCACTACCTGATTCGCGGCGCCTGGGACACCTTCGAAGGCTACCTGGACCACATCACCTCCAAGCACTCCATGAACTTGCGAGGGTGAGTACTGGCTGGCTGGCTCTTGAGAGCGGCGCCGAGTAAGTGGCGACCCGGCGACGGGAGACGCTGGTTGGGGCAGCAGGAGGGCCTGGGCGCCGTCCTGAATCTCATGTGGAGAACGTTTGGGTAGCAGCACCGCCCCTCATCCCAACAAGAGATTCACGAGTTCTTGAATCCTTGGATTGGGATGGCGGTACCAGACAACCTGACCCTAGCCGCGTGTGCTCGCCTGAGCCTGAGCAAGGTGGCGGCCAGGTGCAAAAAATAATAAATTATCAGTTCTAAACTTCCCTCGTATTTTCATAAGACATCCCTCTGATCATACCACACTTGGGTTGTGTTTGGACGCACCTCAGTAGTCAGATGAGGTGCGTCCAACGCACCTCATCTCTTGAGTCAGTGCGTTGGACGCACCTCATCTGGCTACTGGAGAACGCTGGAGGAGCAGAAGCACCGCAGGCCTGGTTGCCTGCAAGCTGTGCAATGCCATGTCCCCTCCCCAGCTGCAACGGACTGCACAAAAAATACATTCCATGCGCATATCGGCCAAGGTCAAAATGTGCCATCCTCCCATCCCATCCTTTTTACGACAGGTACGCGAAGGACAACAACATCGAGTGGTACGGCATTCCCTTCCGTGTGCTCTATACCAGCGAGGATACCACCGAGTACAAGGTTTGAGCAGAGATGATTCACGCCGCGACATGGCAACGCTGCTGCGAGGAGAGGGCAGTCGGCGCCCTTGGTGGTGGAGGAGGAGGAGAGTCCGTCGAGATGAATAGCCATTTGAAGTGACGGGAGGGGGCACCTCCCGTTGAGGGTGGCCGCCCTGCCTGGCGGGGTCCGCTGTGGGGGGTCTGCACAGCGCGGGCAGGGGCACGTACCGCTGGGGAACTAGCCGGCATCGGAAGCCATATTTTTGCATCCGTGGCTGAAAAATGATTTGCCAAGCCTACATAGCCTGGTAGGGGCTTGTACACCTACGTAACGTATGCGCATAGTGATGGCAACATTCCATGTTTCAGGGCTTGAAACTAGAGCAGCTCGTTGTGTCTGTACAGGTTGCCTTAAAACAGGGCATATGCATGCCACGGGCGCACTGGCCTGGAGCAGCGGTTGGCTTCGTTGGGTTGACAACGTTGAGTCGTTGGGTTGTTGGTGTGCCGTACACGGCCTTTCGGAAGCTGGTGGGCTGCCGTGCATATTGCAACCATGCCGCCAAGATCCCCCGCCGATTCGCGACGGACGTCCCCCTCGCTCATGTCGCGGTGAGGTGCGAGGCGTGACGACACTGGTCATAGCTATTGCGCGTGTTAGGATAGATATGGCAAGTCGACTTGAACCATTTTTAAGTTCTTTACGAGGCTGTTGCATCCGTACTTGCCTTTGTATGACAGGGTTCCCTTGATTCCGGCCAGGAATGGCGCATCTAAATCTGAATGCACTGTAACGGCACATGAAGCTAAGCTTGGGATCCATAAGCCGAACGCATCCTCCTCAACATACAAAACTAGCAATTACAGATTTTTGGTACTATGATCAATTTAGGAAAAGCATAGAAGCTTCCACCATCCGAGATTTCCACCATCCGAGGATTTGGTGCGGGCCAAGCGGCAGGCAACATGATCCCGGGCAGACTACGATTCCAGATTCGTACAAACATTCGTACAAACAAGCAGGCTCGCCCCCTCCCACGGAAGCAAGCACAACTTTCCTGCCTGCAGGTACCCCTCCGTCTGTGCGACCCCTAAGCGGTAAGGCAACTACTCAAGAAAACCGAAACCCTTTTAAGGGTTCGGCCGGGCCTTGGCCCCTAATAATCGATTATCCACACTATCCACCGATTATCCCCGGGGGCCACCAACATAACCCTAAGCCAAGAATCAACGGTCTGGGACTGCCCGGGATTTGGCACTCTCCTAAATCATACGTAAGTCCGCTCATACATAAATTCCGACGAAGAAGGCTCGCTCAATCGCTCAATCGCTCAACCTCAACGCGCCTGCTTACTTTACCTCTCCTAATCTCTTTTGAGTGCGCCGGTCAAACAACTTGCGAGCTGACCAGGAACTAAGTTGACGCGCCGTTGATCCGCTAGATTTGGTTGGATGCCGGTGGTGAGTTGCCAAACTTAAAGAGTACATTCTGATGTCGGATGGGGTGAATGGATTAGGGTGCCCCTCTAGCAGGGGAGAGCAGGGAACTGCCTCGGGAAGGAGGCCACTGGTGAAGCTTAACCACCCTGTAACAACATCAACTTTCGGGTTATCCGTGAAGTTGTCGACAAACGATTTCCACGCAGCACTGCCTGAGTGAAAAACTTAACTCATTAAGAAATAAAGTGAGTGGGTGACTCCGCGACCGCCTTCTAGCAAGATTACATATAAGAAACAACATAGCCCTACTTGGCTGCGTTCCTTCTCACGGAAAATGCCCATGCTCACATCATGTCTTTCCTCGGGGGACATGGGCATATCCTGATAGTTTGCCTGGCTAGGAACCTCCAGCCCGGAGTGGCGCAGCGGGGCCCGGGCCTAGATACTGCTACCGGCTGTGCTGCGAGGTGAAAAGGCGGAAGGTCCAAACTTCAGCCAGCCAGGCCTCAAGCGCCTTTTTTCGTGTGTGTGTGTGGTTGTTACAGTGGTGGGGCTCCAGCCTCACGAAGAGGAGAGCCATCGGGCCAGCTACTGGCCGTGCACTGCACTAGAGACTAATATTCAAATTAGACAATCACCCAGATGAGACAACTCAAGGCAATTAGACAGTCAAACCGCGAGGAAAGGGAAGGCTGAAGACCCCCAATTATTATTGAAATAGATTCGTGAAGCGAGCCCCCGCTTCCACTGCGGCGACTGCCTCCGTCGGTCATCGTCCAAGCGGCCCAAGCGGTCCAAGTGCCCCAAGTCCCAGCGCCGCCTCAGCACCTGATGCAGGCCACGGCTGCACCCCGAGGCCGCCGTACTCCGCCGCAGGCGGCGGCGGCGGCGGCGGCAGGTCCGTCGGCATCTCCGTAAACTCGATGCCGTGCTTGTGAAAAACCTCCCGTACGGCAGTTAAAATGCCGTGTCGTGCGAAGGAGATGCGCTCCGGACCGACCGACCCATTAAACTTGTATCTGCGACCCCACCGGCCCGGTCGGACTTTATTATTTTTATTACCCTTCCACCATTTGCGGTCTGGGTCGGGTAGGTAGGTTAAGCCGGAGGTAGGAGCGAGCGACAGGAGCCAGGACATAGGAGCTTGAGGTGCGGGACTTGGGCGCAACATAACGCCCTACTGAGGAACCACGGGTCATTTCGCATTCATCCGCGCCGCCAACTCACCTATGGAGCGTGCGGATGGTGACCTTGTTGGGCCGCTCAAAGCCGTGGTACACCGCCAGGAAGCTGTACATCTCGTCGTACTCGCTCTTCGTACGTGTGATAACGTCCATGGCGGCCTGTTGCATCTCCTCCAGAACGGACGGCGGAGTGGAGGCGTCAACGGTGAAATAGTTTTGCTCGATCTTCCAGTCCGACCTGTGTACGGCGACCCCCGAGGCCCGGACAGCGGGTGAATGTGCGTCAGACGAAGCAGCCTGTATGTGACGCTGTCGCCCAGTGGAGCGGGTCCTCTATTGCCGCGTAAGAAATTACTGCACAATCTGGGTCGATCTTGTCTATGTTATTATGTTATGTTAGATGCGGGTCGAGGTTCGTGGTTGAAGGCTAGGCCAGTCGCAAAATAAAGACCCAGCAGCAGCTGCAGCAGTAACAGCGCTCCAGATCGAGATACCCATACATGCTATAGCCGCGGGGATGCCAGTGGTGGGGCTACATCCTATCGGCAGCTGTCGATGATGCAGTGGATGTCGTGGCGGTATTGTTATTATTAATTGATTGATTGGGCCCGGTCAGCATCCTGGTGGCGCCCTGAGGCTGATGATCTCACCGGTGGATGTTCGTGATGCGGCCGGAAGATAACTTATCAAGTGGCAGGATTACCAAATCTCCGTACAAGCGCAGGAAGAAGAGGTCAAAGTCCTGGTTGGGCAGTTGGGCAGTTGGGCGTGTCGGCAAGACAGGGAGGCGATGACACATGTACGGCGTTGAACTGAAGATGTACAAGTTATAAGTTATACGTGCCGCACGAGTGCGGGGGGCTTCGTCAAAGCTGGGAGGCGATCCGTAATGACGGAAGGCCTATTTGAGCATTCCGGGTTACTCCTTTGCTGTGTTACAATGGTATCGAGACGTGTCCACACGGCATTAGTTTGTAAACGATGGGTTGCCAGATCTGTTAACCGGCAGATATAGCGAAAAGCTTTATCATGATATATTAGATAGACCAATGCAGAATGTAAGAGGTCGCATGGCTCCTGAGCACGTTACAAAGGCCCAGGATGTCCATCGCTAAGAGGGGGGCAACGTAACGACGCAAGGCCTATCTGAAAATCCCGGGTTACGCCTTTGCTGTGTTCCACCATGGACTATATATATAGTGAATGTTGATTCCATGTAAGTTGGAACCAAGCGAACAGGAACACGCTAGATTTATGCCTGTGTCCCGGTCAGCATGGATATTCGGGCCACACATGAGGGGATGAGCAGCTTTGATTACGCAGGACAGTACGGCACTTTCGTACATCCTCATAGACGCACCTGCACGACGCCGCCGGTCTTCAATCCATTGGCATCCTCGAGCATGAGCTCTGCGGACATCATGCACAGATATTGGTGAGGTAGATAGATGTGTGCAAGCATGGAAATTTCGTTGACGATTAGGTTTTTTGGTCCAACCTCCTGAAAGGGAATTAAGGGAGCTGCATTGCTAGGTAGGATACGTGTAATCGTAACGGATCTGGGTTTTAGCCGTTGCATCTGCCGTACCCGTTCCCCTAGCCACACTTTACCTTCCCCCACGTCGAACGGCTGCTGTGTCAGGATCAGTACGAACCCCTGCAACATGCTCCTGCTCGGCGGGCCGGCGGGCGGTTAGGTTGGAAGAAGGCAGCGAAGCGGAAGGCGGCAGGCATTGCAGGAAGGCAGGCAGGCGGGAAGGCATCTGGCATCAGGTCCGATAAGTGAGAATATTTCGTTACGCGCTCTTGCTCTGGTCTTCTACCATTTATGCCGTTTTTTGACGGTTGATACTCCCTCGCCATTTTTTCTTACTTCTTTTCCTCTCGTTCCGTCTTTACGCCGCCCACCCTAGCCCACCAATTCGCACCTATCACGTCGCCACTTCACGATCGGGCGCCATTACGGTTTAAAAAAAAAGAGCCCCTTTTCATTTCAATTCTCCTGCCATGCCCCACCACCGTCGACATCTGTTTTTTTAGCATTGCTCCATTCGCATCCTTGCTTTTTCCAGCTTTTCCGTTTCCGGAGGTGGCGCATAAATATATCTGCATCGATCCTTTGTAAGAGAGTCTCATTCGAGGATAAACCACCTCATTTTCCTCACTTGATTTGCTCGCTGAATATGAGCGACACCACCAGCACGTACACGGAGAATATGTCCAGGGAGGTCTTGGAGCCGCCGCCGCTGGAGAAGAACCTCGCCACATCCAGAATGGACAAGTAGACCGGCACCAGGAAGATGCCTGGTGCGTGCAGATATGCGGGTGGGTGGGATGTGGGTGGGTGGGTGAGGAGGCCGGGAGGAGCAGCAGTCACAGTTGCAGGAAGGGGAGAAGATATAGTCCTCTTGAGCCCCTGGATGCGTAACACAATACGTACATACATACATACCGGGTTCAAATCCGCCTGCCGGCTTCTCGGGTGTTTGAGGAGTGTTGAAATGGGAGGTGGCCCCCCATCATATGGACGATGTAGGACGTGATAATATCAACTTGCGAGCTGACAAGGAACTAAGTTGATGCGCCGTTGATCCGCTAGATTTGGTTTGATGCTGGTGGTGAGTTGCCGAACCCAACGAATACATTCTGAAGTCGGATGGGGTGACGGATTAGGGTGCCCCTCTAGCAGGGGAGAGCAGGGACTGCCCCGGGAAAGGGGGCCGCTGGCGAAGTTAACCACCCTGTAACAATATACATACTTTATGGATATTTACATAAAAAATATAGTACTAGTATTTTTTGGTTTTACAACCGGCAATGCGTTCAGCTGATTATGGACTAGCATTCTGCTGAAAGCTTTTTGCACAGGCCACGCCGTTGGGTTTGCCGACGCGCACTCTCGTTCATCTTAACCTGTGCCGTACGATGTAGAATGCCGCCGGCTCACCGTTGACAATGGCCATCAGGATGACCTGCAGCGATGACGTCAACCGTCGTACAGCTCGTACAGTCAACATCATCGAGCGTTGATGCTCCAGGTACTTCATCACCGCGGACTTCACATCCTGGAGAGTCAATACACCTGCCGCGTCCAAGGTCACGTGTACACACGCACGAGGTCAAAACAACACACCGTACATTAGCGCCGTACATTGGCATGCCACCGGGCGCAACTGTCAAAACGACGCTAAACGAGCTAGTTAGGCGGGCCTGGGTGGCCGTAGGGCTGTGTAAGTCAAATAGATAGATTGAAATGTAATAAGTACCTCAAAATACGGTGGAAATTAAATTGCTTCAGGTCTACGTCAAGAGGCGGTCGATAGGTTCGGAGTCCTCGATAGGTTTAACTCGGGAGCATGGCGAGCAATAACGGGGGGAGCTCCGAGCCGATTGGCACCGGGCCGGCACCAGGGAATCCTGTCCTCCCTACCCGCATCCACGGACCCCCCATGCAGCCCCAAAATGGACCCCACGCTTGCTTGCATGTATGTGCGGCCCCTCTATTCCCCCCTCCATTCCGCCCCCTCCCTCCCCCACCCCCCCCCACACACCGTCCTTGTCGCCGTCCAGCGCGTCCCAGGCGATTTGCCGGTCCACCTCATGCGTGAAGATGCTCGCGAGCATCTGTGTCGGTGCGACGACCGGGGGACGGTACACGGTGGCGGCGGCGAGTGGACAGACGCAAGGGAGACATACATACGCAGAGACACAAAGCGTGTGGAATGCGACGACCGAGGATGGTAAACGGCACCGTGCCGTTAACCGTGACGGTTGTGAGTGGCATGCAAGTAATAAGGCAAGAAAGAGAACACTGCCAGCTAGGCATAAGCAACAAGTAAAAATGGGGTGGAGTGGGCTGGAGTGCATGTTGTTGTTGTTGTTGTTGTTACATGGTCGTGGGTGCGTTCCCCGTACCTGCAAACCACCCTAATACGAGCCGAGGGCTCAAGGGCTGCCAGATCGCCTATAAGCACCATCCTACCTCGCACTTCAAACGAAACAAGTGATGAAGGATACTAACGACCAAAGGGAACGATAGAGTTGCGGTGGGACCGTATACGTTCCAGCATGTGTCAGGCAGCGGCAAGAGGAGCCCAGTAGTTGCCAGGGTAAATGGATTGAATAGTGGGGCCAGATCATGTCCTATCGCGTTGCCAGGTAGGTGGTTAGGCAAGATGATGCAGAATGTTACAAGTTCCAAGTTCCACCCAAGTGGGGTCGACATCCGTACAAGCCGGGGTGGGGGGAACCATGGACGGTCCTTAGTCATTGTCGTGGGGTCGATTGCGGACGTTGTCGTCGTCCTCCCCCGTTCGCCTGAGCTCAACGCGCCTGAGCGCCACGTGCCTGATCTCACAATGCGAGGTCGCCATGCTTGTTGAGGTCAGGTCATGCCTAGAAGTTTTAGCTTGCGTCATGCAATGCAAGTTCATGTGCCATCACAAGGTTCCGCCGTGATCATTATCGCCAACCTCACCACCAGCTTCCTCACCACCACCACCACCACCACCACCACCACCACCACAATCCTCCTCCTCCTCCTCTTCCATGTTATCGGCAGGTTCGCTCTCACCTCTTTCTCAATGGTATCATCGCTCCCGGGGAGACCCACACACTCCCACACAGCCTCCTGGAAAGTAGTCGCAAGAGCCGGAATGGTCGAGTCACGCAGGTTGCTGTAATCCTGTACATTGTCATGCAGGATTTCATACGATGATAAGGCCCTCCCAGCGGTCAGCATGACGCCAGGGGGAGATGTACAGAGAATAGAGACGAG